CGCGTTATCAGAAACCCGCGTTATTGCTAACGTGGAATGTAGACCGTCGGGTGAAAGACTAATTAACATGTACGTGTGTATTCACAAAACGTACCGTATGTCTATCTGTGAATGGTTACAAAACTAGCGAAACTACGAAAATAAATTTGTACCCAAGTATTTGTGTGTACTTGCTTCTGTGTGGAATAATAACGATGACACAGGGTTTACCACAAAACCTGGAAAATCTGGAAATTTCACACCCATTTTCCAGTCTTGGGAAAATCATGAAATTTTGAAAAAAAAAATTGTTTGAAATCATGGAAAAATCATGCAATAATCTTGGGTTTTCTTATACAAAACTGTATATCTTAACAGTACTACAAGGGCTATGGCAGCCATCAACATGTGTATCTGGATTAGTTTGCATGTAGGTTAACATATTAACTGCCTTTGAAAAGATTTGTGGTTACTGGAACACCAAAGTTCTTTAAAAACTTGTGTTAATATAATGGCGATTAAAAGTGGCCAAAAGTCGCCGCTTCCCTCCGCCATCAGAGTTCGTAGTACGCGAGGCAATTCTGATTTTCAGCCAGAAAGTTTGCATCATTTTGATGATTTCTTCGACATCAACTGACGACACGAGCTTATCTGTTCAGATCGCTTCATCGGAAGTTGTAGTGGCAGGTTGTGGTCTAAGTAACAATAATATTGTAAGTAGTATTATATTGAACACTGTATTTTGAAACACATTTCACATGTAAGATAAGAAAGTAATTAATCAATCAGCGCATGTTATTGGTTAATCCTTTGATCGATGTTTATAATGTTGAATATTTACTCCAGACACAAGAAAAATAGGTACAAGAAACAAACATCTCCTGGCGTTCCTTGTTACCACCATGAGACAATTGCTTCTTGTGCCTGTTTTGCCAACATGTGAAACTTGTTTCAAAATACCATTGATATAGCTACGAGATAACTTGTAGTGGCAAATTGGGCCAGACATTGATACTACGAGTATACTCGGGTGGCAGTCAACGTGTTAATACTTGCTTAAATACATGTGGTACTAAAATTCTAAACAATAACTTGTATTTAATGTTTGATGGTTGAAAGTGTTTTCCACCCCTTGCCTCCAGAGCTGGAAGAAATGCACCTTTTGCAGTTAAGGTTTTCTCATATGGGGAGATGGGAGGCTGTATTTAAGATATTGTTTTATTTCAGACACAATAATATTTGTTTAAAGGTATCAAAATACCCCAGGACATATATTATTGTGAAAGGAAAAGCAATATTTGTCTTGAAAAATCATGGATTTCTTTTTTCACAAAAATGACTGACTGACCAGTTTGTTTTGCCCGAAGTAATATTCCAGCAACAGCAGTGGGGACACCAGAAAGGCAACTCAGTGCCCATATAAGGTCATGGTGTTCATTGATAAATGGATTCCCTACGAACCGATGAAATAAAAGGTTTTCAGGAATTACAGGTCATGGTGTTCTTCATAAATGGATTCCCCCCGATGAAAGGTTCTGGAAACAGTTGTGGCCTGTACCTGTCTAACATTAAAGGAGAATACGAATGAAAACAAAACTTTTAATAGGGGTAAAGGCATTCGGAAAGTCACCTTCCTGGGGTTAAAATTGAAGAAAAAGTTTGTAAAATCTCAATAAAAACACAAAAAACGTACTTGTATTTCCGCCTATTACGGAAACACCCGACAGTTAATGAGCAGAGGGGGTGTCACGTGACATGACGTCATATGTGCTTGCTGCTAATGGCTTCCTCTTTGATTTTACCTCACGACTTAACAGTGTCTATGGATTCTGAAGCAGTAAAAGATGTTCCTGATGTCATTTCTGATATGGATGTTAGACCATATCAATACGATCCAAGTTTACATCTTGCAAGACAATCTTCCAGTGAAGATGAAGAAGAATCAAGCAAAACGGAGGCAAATAATTTTAAAAAATAGACCATATCATTTAACAGTTGTGGTCTGTACCTGCCTAACTTTAACCTTGAGGCACCGTGGGTCCATGATTATGATCATGCAATGCATGGGAAAATAGCTGCACAGTTTTTGTGTTACATAACAGCAGATTGCAAAAAAAGTTAAAAAGTCCAAATTTCTTCTTGATAGAATGTTATTGTGTACTTTAATTTTATTGCTTGTTGTTTTTATCGCTGCCCCCGCCACACCAGTTCCTTGACCCAGAGATTCATCCATGGTACGACCCTGCACATGTCCAGGGCATCATGGAAAATCATGCTTTAAACTTCTTTGGAATAGGCCCATATACAGCCTAAGAAAAATTCCTGCCAACAAACCTGATCTTGTCCTTATTGATAAAGTCAGTGAATTTATACATGTTGTTGAATTTTCTGTCCCTTTTGACAGCAATGTGATTTGCAAGAAGAGCATGCTAAATATGCGAACCTCACTTTTAAAATGTCTCGCTTGCATCCCATGTACATCGTCGATCAAGCTCGCCATTGTCCTCGGTGCCATTGGTTTGGTGGGGTAGCCTAGTGGTTAAAGCGTTGGCTCGTCACGCCGAGGAACCGGGTTCGAATCCCCACATGGGTACAATGTGTGAAGCCCATTTCTGGTGTCCCCCGCCGTGATGTTGCTGGCATATTGCTAAAAGCGGCGTAAAACCAAAACTCAGTCAGCCATTGGTTTGGCACCTAAGAAGCTCTTGTCACAGATCAGGAGTTGGCCCGGGTTCTCCACCGGGTGTACAGGCCTTCTGACTCTGGTTAATGCAGAATGCTGCAGTGTTGTGGAGTCTACATATTCTCCGGGTTCTTGGTGGGTTTGACAGAGCTTCCTGGGAGACGACCGAATCTGGGCTGCGTGTACAGGGGGCAAGGGCCCTCAGCTGATGATGAGCCTGACCAGCCTGACTGTGCCATTACCACCGACACTCTCTCTGCTGCATTTATCTAAATCTGTAAAACAGAATAACAATAATAATAATGATATCCATATCCATGTTTCATGAACATCACTTTTCAATAAATTTGTTCAAAATTGTAATTTATCAAAACCAGTGTTGCATATTTATCACTGTGTACATGCCGAAGTTTTTGTGACTCATTTGGTGTCCATTATTATTACACTCATTGACAATGTTTTTTATGTCCATATATTACCCACCTGTCTGTGTGATATGAGCACTAAACTATTATATATATATACCAGCTGGTCGTCACTCAGTTACTTATTGGCAATAATAACCGATGAGGTCTGAATACTGTGGAGATGTCTGACAAAACTTCGTTGTAATGTACATGATTTTAATTTTAACTAGTATGATACTCCCAAACTATGAAACTGTGGATTTTTTTGTTCCTGTGTGACAGAACTGGAAGATGAATTCCATATGATATTAGTATGTCCTCTTTACAATGAGTATCGTGTTAGATATTTACCTGAATATTATCGTAATTAACCTCATGTTCAAATGGTTATTGAAGTGATGAGAACAAGTGATAAGAACAGAGTCTTAAAACTTTGTATCTTTCTCCAAAAAAAGTGTTTGTACTTTGATCGAAACCAAAAAATCTCCGTGAACACATAATAATATCTACTGTAATAAGATCTATATTTTCAGTGTGGCGCATATGCATGTTTTTGTCTAATTGTTTTACATATGTTGTACTATTGGCCTCATGGCCATCTATACATAATAAATGATTATGATGAATATTGCCGACTGCAGCTGTTGATAATTTCACTCACTTATTTTGTTATGTTAATTCACAGTCCCATAACACACATCTGCTTAAAGTTTTGTGTGACTGCCATCACTAGTGAATTTTATGTCTAGATGCAGAGATTACTGACATTGCAAGATACCTTACAATAGACATACTTAACAAGGACTTAAAGGAATTCTTTTGCACATGGGGGCGGTGGGGTAGCCTAGTGGTTAAAGCGTTCGCTCGTTACTCTGTAGACCCGGGTTCGATTCACCACATGGGTACAATGTGTGATGCCCACTTCTGGTGTCCCCCGCTGTGATATTGCTGGAGTATTGCTAAAAACAGCGAAAAACCATACTCACTCACTCACTCACTTTTTTTCGGTTAAGATGAAAGGTCCAAGGAAAAAAATCACTGAAGTGTATGTAGCTTGTTCTATTCCTTGTTGATGATGGTGACATACTAGCACTGGTGGTTTTCGAAGCTGTTATGGTCCAAAACGTAAACCATTTGTTGCTCTCCAAATAAATCTGACTGACTGACCGAGTTTGGTTTTACGCCGCTTTTAGCAATATTCCAGCAACATCACGGCAGGGGACACCAGAATGGGCTTCACACATTGTGCCCATGTGGGGATTCAAACCCGAGTCTTCGGCGTGACGAGCGAACGCTTAAACCACTAGGCTACCCCTGCGCCCCTCATATCTTAGAAACAAGGGGCTGTGGGGTAACATAGTGCTTAAAGTGTTCGCTCATCACATCTCAGGTTCAATTCCCACATGGGTACAATGTGTAATGCCCTTATCTGGTGTCCCCCATTGTGACATTCCTGAAATATTGCTAAAGGCAGCATAAAACTCAACTCACTCACTCACTATGAGAAAAGTCCCAATGCTGTCCATGTTAAATCTGCTCAGGTTTTCGTTATAAGGGAATCTTGCTGTGCCAGCAAGTTATAAGAAAGTTCCAAGGCACAATGGCACCCTGTAACTTTTGACTTTTTGTATGGATTGTTTCTGACATATCTCAGAAGACAAGTGGTTAAAGTGTTCGCTCGTCACACCGAAGACCCTGGTTCGATTCCCCACATGGGTACAATGTGTGAAGCCCATTTCTGGTGTCCTCTGCCGTGATATTGCTGGAATATTGTTAAAAGCGGCGTAAACCCAGCTTACTCAATCTTCCAGATGGGATATTGTGTTTTGCATGCTGTGTGATGTGGTCAAAGTCTAAGGAACACATGTGAACTTTTCTCAAAGATTTTTTGTTTCTACGTGTTAACCATTGCTGACATGTTTCACTTGAAGGTTGTGAGGTCAGTGCGGCAGGTGTTTAGAACAGGACGCACCAAAACCTACGAATGGCGATACGCACAGCTGTCGGCCATGTTGAAGATGCTGGATGAGAACAAAGACCGGATGACAGCAGCTCTGAAGAAGGACCTGAACAAGGTACCAATTAGACTAATGCTTAGTCTCTGAATATATATAAGTTTGATAGTAACAAACATGCCCATTTAAATTGAAACAGAGCCCCAGGCAGACCAGAGATTCGGACCTGAGGAAATCTAGACTTGCTTTATTTAGGGCTTTAGCACTGCAGAGAGGGCTTGGCAGTAGGGGAAATAATGTGGTTCAGGGACTGTGAGACAGACTAGGTACCAATAGGCAGGGTCAGACTTGGACTACATTACCCCCAGCCTTCAAGGTGTCCATTGCTATTGCCACATTGCAAATTATAGTCTGTTTGGGTTCAAATGAGAATGATGAATGACTAAATATCTTGAAATAGGGATAAGAGCACAAAACATAAATAAGACACATGGCCCTGAAACCTCTGTACCCAACAGGATCCGAAATCTGACGTTTTTTGATCAATCACGGAAAAAGTTGTTTAAGAAACTATCATGTAATATTGTGCTATTTTCACTCTTCACACCGTTGGGTGATAAATGGCTGATGGAACAGCACTAGCACACATTCAGGTGCAACTCAGCACAGCCAGGTGAGATGACCCCAGCTAGTCAGGTGCTGTTCCATCAGCCGTTTGTCACCCCCAGTGTGAAGAGTAAAAAATAGCACGATATTACATGATAGTTTCTTAAACAACTTTTTCCGTGATTGATAAAAAAACGTCAGATTTCAGATCCTGTTGGGTACAGAGGTTTCAGGACCATGTGTCTTATTTATGTTTTGTGCTCTTATCCCTATTTCAAGATATTCAATCATTCATCATTCTCATTTGAACCCAAACAAATTATATTATCCTGGCTTTCATTTGTCTTGTGCTAATCACCAGTTGGTGGTAAGTTGGGCGGTGGGGTATCCTAGTGGTTAAAGCGTTGGCTTGTCACGCCGAAGACCCGGGTTCGAATCCCCCACATGGGTACAATGTGTGAAGCCCATTTCTGGTGTCCCCTGCCATGATGTTGCTGGAATATTGCTAAAAGCGGCGTAAAACCAAACTCAGTCAGTCAGTGGTGGTAAGTTACTGTTGGAGTCCCTAAAGTTTCCATCATTTTTTTTTATTTCTCGTTCTTACATGTTCACATATCTGTGCTCTACATCCCAGCATTTATTTACTTGATGAAGGACAAAGCATTCACTCCAAAACATTTTATTCATCATCATGAAGAAATTGACATCCATGAATTCTCTCCCTTTCATATCTGTGTCATCTTACACCTCCCTGATCCACACAGCAACTTTAGCAACAACATCAAGACAAAAAACTATCTGTCATGTCCGTTCTTCCAATACAAACCGACACTTTGTCCACACCATATTCTCTAGTAGTTTTAATATTGTTTATTTTCCTTTCAAGAACAAGATAGAATCGTTGATCTTTGAGTTCAACCTGTGCCGTAATGAGCTGATTCTTACCATGAACAACCTTAAAGAGTGGATGAAGCCAGAGAAGGTAAGTTTTTTCGCAACAAGAAATAACAATTTAAAGTAAACTTTCGAAACTGTTGACAGTGGTATGATTTGGAAGAAACTGACCTTGAACATCTATTAACCAAAGTAATGATAAACATGTTAGACTGCCTTTGTTCTTGTCAACTTCTAGCTATCTTCTGCTGTTGGTGTTTTATTGTTTTTCTTCAAAATCCTGTTATTTTTGCCTTGGTAAAGAACCTGTCTTTTGGATAGGTGGGGTAATGATAATGATGTAGAGTAGACTAATTGGTTGTCACGTCAAAGTGTCTGTTCCAATTTGGTAGCAGTGTATGAAGCCCGTTATTTGTGTTCTCAGGCATGATATTGCTGGAATATCATTAAAACCGAGTTCAAAAACCTACTCGAGGGCTGGTTGTTCAGACAAGTTTGGGGGCTGTGGGGTAGCCTTGTGGTTAAACTATTTGATCGTCATGCCAAAGACCCAGGTTCAATTCCCGACACAATTACAATGTGTAAGCCCATTTCTTGTGTCCCCTGACATGGAATTGCAGGAATATTGCTGAAAGAGGCGTAAAACCATGTTCATTCACTCACTCACTCACAGACGTGTTGGCCTACTGATCAGAGACTGACTGTGTAGTGACCTTGACATCTCTGTATCAGGTGAAGAAGGAGCTGATGAATGTTATGGACAAGTGCTACATCCAGCGAGAACCTCACGGCTTGGTGCTGATTCTTGGAGCATGGAACTACCCCGTCCAACTGACCATCCTGCCAATGATCGCCTCCATATCTGCTGGTGAGTAGACACAGGGTGGGTTGGGGAGATGGGAGGGTGGAACTACCCCGTCCAACTGACCATCCTGCCAATGATCGCCTCCATATCTGCTGGTGAGTAGACACAGGGTGGGTCGGGGAGATGGGAGGGTGGAACTACCCGTCCAACTGACCATCCTGCCAATGATCGCCTCCATATCTGCTGGTGAGTAGACAGAGGTGGGTCGGGAGATAGAGGGTGGAACTACCCTGTCCAAAGACCACCCTGCCAATGATCGCCTCCATATCTGCTGGTGAGTAGACACAGGTGGGTCGGGAGATGGGAGGGTGGAACTACCCGTCCAACTGACCATCCTGCCAATGATCGCCTCCATATCTGCTGGTGAGTAGACGGAGGTGGGTCGGGGAGATGGGAGGGTGGAACTACCCTGTCCAACTGACCATCCTGCCAATGATCGACTCCATATCTGCTGGTGAGTAGACAGAGGGTGGGTCGGGGAGATGGGAGGGTGGAACTACCCTGTCCAACTGACCATCCTGCCAATGATCGCCTCCATATCTGCTGGTGAGTAGACACAGGCTGGGTCGGGGAGTTGGGAGGGTGGAACTACCCGTCCAACTGACCATCCTGCCAATAATCGCCTCCATATCTGTTGGTGAGTAGACACAGGTGGGTCGGGGAGTTGGGAGGGTGGAACTACCCCGTCCATCTGACCATCCTGCCAATAATCGCCTCCATATCTGTTGGTGAGTAGACACAGGCTGGGTTGGGGAGATGGGAGGGTGGAACTACCCCGTCCATCTGACCATCCTCCCAATAATCTCTTCCATATCTTCTGGTGAATAGACACAGGGATGGTAAGGGAGTTGGGAGGGTGGAACTTGAGGCCCCTTGAGAAGATATAGACTGTTTATTAATATTTGAAGCTATGCAGTTACTCTGATTAGATAAAAAAACAACATTATCATGACTACTTTTTTGAACTCCTGTCACCATGGTAACCAAGCGTGTTTGTTTTTCAGGGAACTGTGTGATTGTCAAACCTTCAGAAATGTCAGAGCAGACGGCCATCCTGCTGGAAGAGATTGTGCCCAAGTACTTTGATAATGTAAGTCACAGGATCGCATGTTATTGGCAACAATTAGTCATTAGGTCAAATGGAAACTAGAGAGCTACAAGCTGTTAATTTGTACGCTACTTTAAACAAAATAGCCACACAAATTGCAAACATAACAGTGTGCCTTGTCAAAACCAGCCTGAATATTAAATCATGAGAGCCTATATAATAACATTGAAATTTTAACATTCACATTAAAGGCTGTCAAGAAAAGTCTTTAAAGGGTATGTAAAATGTGGTACAGAAGACTTAAAAGTATTTTGCACAGACAGAAGCAGTGTAAAGCCTAATTACTTCCTCAGTATGGTCCAGCCCGTTTCACAAAGCTCTCGTAAACCTAAGATCTCTGAACTTTTCTCGTCACATTCATACTTCCTATACTGTAACATTGGCTTACGATAGTCACAGCGCTACGAGAGCTTTGTGAAACAGGCCCCAGGCTACATGTCAATAGTCACTCTTGTCATTAATATATCTGATGCAGGAGTGTGTCAAGGTCATTAATGGTGGCATCCCTGAGACAACAGGCCTGCTCCAGGAAAGATTTGACTACATCTTCTACACCGGCAACAACGTTGTTGCTAAGATAGTGATGGCAGCTGCTGCTAAGAACCTAACTCCTGTTACGCTGGAACTGGGAGGGAAAAGGTAGGACCTTTAGCTGCAAGCAACAGGATCTTAGTGCCACCGTAAATGATAGCTGTTGAATGCTGCTTAGCACTATTTAGCGGTAAAACAGTTTAAAGTCTGTGTATTTTCAGTTTTAGCCGGTATGATCCTTGGCAGTCTTTGTTTTATGGTAGTTAGGGTTGGGTATCGCCAAACTTTTCGTATTGCGATATATTGCGATATGTGTTGGCGATTACCGATCATGATCACGGAAACTGCCAATCGCATCGGGTGAACCGGTTCGCGAAAAATGTACAGCAATATATCGTATTGCGAAGTTCGAATTGCGATATACCGGTTAACCGGTATTATCGCCCAACCCTAATGGTAGTTACGACAATTGTGTTGCTTGGACATTGCTAAATGTGGCATAAAATCCAAGTCGCTCACTCAACTGGTTTTAGCAGTTCAATCTATTAGTCCACCTTGATTTTGTGTTTTGGGGTTTTTTAACTTCTGCTTACCAATTACAGTCTGTGAGAATGACGAATTGCAAAAATGGGAATCAGCCTATTATCCCCAACAATATGTGTTGTTTGTTATTTTGATACCCGTCACTGAGAAATGTTATATAAGAAACAATGGCAGGAGGAACAGCGCAAACACTTCATGTCATACATTGTATAGAGACAAACAAGTATAGAGTGAGTGAGTTGGGTTTTACGCCTTTCTTAACAATTTTCCAGCAATATCACGGCAGGGAACACCAGAAATGGGCTTCACACATTGTGCCCATGTTGGGAATCGAACTGGGTCTTCGGAGTGACGAGCGAACGCCTTAACCACTAGGCTACCCCACTGCCCAACAAGTATAGAGACAAGCAGACAGATAAAAATAACAATGAATTTGTGAACTTAAGTATTTTCAGTTTTATTTGACATGAAACAATAAATGCTCATTTTGCATGTAGTTGTATTTGTTCAGTATTCTGATCAAAAGAATCCGTGGGCGGTGGGGTAGCCTAGTGGTTAAAGCGTTCACTCGTCACGCCGAAGACCCGGGTTAGATTCCCCACATGGGTACAATGTATGAAGCCCATTTCTGGTGTTCCCTGCCGTGATATTGCTGGAATATTGCTAAGAGCGGCGTAAAACCATACTCACTCACTCAAAAGATTCCAATTCAAAGATGGAATGGTGAGGCAGATACAACTAGATTTAATCTTTTTGGGTGCTCAGGCTCCAGTCAGTATCATCATTAAATTGAAAAATAATAAATTGTTGCTTAAAGTGGTTTTCTCACAGACAGCAGTCAAACTAATGTTTGGCAGGATAGTTCCATTTCCAGAGAAATCAGCAAGCATAACAAATTTCCAGGTTGTCAAATCAAAGGTACAGAGTAATATTTCCCTTTGTGTTATTTTTGCTGGACAGACCCCTCTGATGGTTGAACCCTCAGGAAGTCTAAAACAGCTCTTTTGTATGCAACCATACATTATATGTATTAGGGTTTTAAGATGGAGTTAGGGTACCTACAGGTTGTCATCTCAGTAATAGGGTTTTGATACAGTAATGCAGCCCTGGTACAGTAATAGGGTTTGCTTTGATCAGACAGCTGGTACATTTAAGATGGGGTATCTCCTGGTACAGTAATAGGTTTTTGTCTTAGGGGCTTCCTGGTACAGTAATAGGTTTTTGATCATAGCAGCTCCTGGTACAGTAATAGGGGTTTTGATACAGTAATAGCAGCTCCTGGTACAGTAATAGTTTTTTTGTATCATAGCCGCTGCTGGTACAGTAATAGGGGGTTTTGATACGGTAATAGCAGCTCCTGGTACAGTAATAGTTTTTTTGTATCATAGCAGCTGCTGGTACAGTAATAGGGGGTTTTGATACAGTAATAGCAGCTCCTGGTACAGTAATAGTTTTTTTGTATCATAGCCCCTCCTGGTACAGTAATAAGGGTTCCTGGTAGAGTAATAGGGTAATGATAGTATGCCAACATTAAATGACTACTCCATGTACAACATGATTAAACAGCATTGCAACTGGTAAAAGGAATGCACGATACACTGCCTTAATGTCTGCAGGGTCATAAAGAGTAGTCTCGTTTGATAAGGATATGACAGGTGAAATGGAACATCCGCTGGATTAAATCATGTCTGTTTTTTTCTTGTGATGTTTTTGAAAGTGAATGATTATTTATGTATTATTGATGAGACCAGTCCTTCAAGATGGCCGTGTCTTTCAGCCCTGTGTTTGTTGACCGGAACTGTGACTTGACAACAGTTGCCAGGAGACTCGTCTGGGGGAAGTTTGTCAATGCCGGACAGACATGTATCGCTCCTGATTACGTCATGTGCCAATCAGATGTCCAGGTACAGTCACAAACAGCCTCAGCAGCTATACAGCTCACAAGAAGTTAAAGAACACCCATATTATATGACTTTAGTTCGCAATATGGCTATAGTTCATCTGTCATGTCGTGACCTTAACGAGGTAACTATAAGGAAGGATAATGTCGTGACCTTAACAAGGTAACTGGATCATGTCGTGACCTTAACGACCTTAAGGTAACTATCGGGATCGAGGTAACTATGATCATGTCGTGACCTTAACGAGGTAACTATAAGGATAATGTCGTGACCTTAACGAGGTAACTATAAGGATAATGTCGTGACCTTAACGAGGTAACTATAAGGATAATGTCGTGACCTTAACGAGGTAACTATAACAAGGATAATGTCGTGACCGAGGTAACTTAACGAGGTAACTATAAAGGATCATGTCGTGACCTTAACAAGGTAACTATCGGGATCGGGTTTCCACATGTCATTGTATCCCATCATGTGTGTAACAAGGTAACTATCGGGATCATGTCGTGACCTTTGGGGTAGCCTAGTGGTTTAAGCGATTGGCTCGTCCCTGAAACGCTGAAGACCCGGGTTCAAATCCCCACATGGGTACAATGTGTGAAGCCCATTTCTGGTGTCCCCCGCCATGATGTTGCTGGAATATTGCTAAACGCGGCATAAAACCAAACTCAGTCAGTCAGCCAGTTGTGTAGACTGATGCTCATGCTGTCAGTCACGGGATTGTCTGGTCAACACTCTATTATGTACATACTGTCATCATATAGCTGGAAAATTGCTGAGTGCAGTATTAAACAACAAACAAAATCATGACAATCACTGAATTGTCTGGCCCAGACTTGATTATTTACAGACCACTGTCATATAGCTTGAAAACTGCTGAGTGCAGCATTAAACAACTAACAAACAAACGAAATCATGTCATGACAGATGACTATAGCCCTGTAGTGAATCAGATGCTGAATGTGTAGATTTATCACATAATGGTTGGTATTGGTATGACAATGTAATAAATATGCAAATGAGATCATCAAGCAGGTACCACTTTCAGAACTACTTTCAATACTCAAATCTATGTCTGCAGAAAAAGCTGCTGACTTTCATTCCAAAAACATTTAGACAGAGCTTTTCCCATGTCTGAGTACTTATTTAAATAAACATGGCTGCATATAAATTGGCACAATATAAAACTTCTGGCACATTTTTTGGAAGTTACTTTACTGGATAAATAGTTCATTAAAGAATGCTCTTAAGGTCCGATAAAAATTTATGGCTGGGGGTGGGGAGGGGTGGTGATGATTTTTATTGAGAAGCATGTAAAATGTTAACACCCCCACCCCCTTAAAATTTATGCACAAAGAATGTGACCCCCATCAATTAACCTTCCCCACCCACCCCATTTCATGTGTACAAAATTGATGGCCCCCACCCCTACCTCACCAGAACAAAATGGGTGACCCCCTTAAATTCATCACACACACATCCCCAGCCATATACCGGTATTATAAATAGTCCCTTAGTGTTAGATTCCATGCTGAAATGATTGTAAAAGAGGAATAAGATCTATGATCTATGTATTATACAAGTTTGTCATAGGATTGTACGATTATGATATTCATTCTTCGAGTGGGATATTTAGCATCTCTTTTTACATACATTTGTGATTGTCAGAACTGTAAATATATTTATAAAATGTCCTTTATTATTTCAAAAAGACAACAAATAACAATTTAGTTTGATGAGTTGTTTTCATAAATTTGATAATTTGATTTGTAAATGAATGGTTAATATAACATGCATTCAAGTTTGCTGTTATTTCATCTTGTTCATCTGTGTCCTGTGAAGCTGGACTAGAATTTGTGGGCCAGCTCTCCCAATACTATTTGATTTGTCTCTATCAAGGACCCACTTATTGAGGAAATGAAGAAAGTGCTGGTTGAATTCTTCACTGAAAAACCAGAGCAGTCCGACAGCTATGGTCGCATCGTGAACGTCAGACATTTCAGGTGAGTTCAGTGTTTCACTGTAGTAGCCACACTGTCAGTCGTTGTTGGGAGATAGTATCTCCAGATACAGTCTATTGGAGAGTATGTTTGTTAGTTGTTTAACGCCACACGCAGCAATATTACAGCTATATGGTGGCGGTCTGTAAATAATCAAGCCTGGACCCGAAAATCCAGTGATTAACATCATCAGAGATGCCAACCCATACGATTTTATTTTATCCATTATAAAAAAGCAACACAATATACGCCACTACGATAGCAGTAAAAATATACAATTTAAAAAAAATATATATTAAATTAAATAATCAAATAGCGTACTTACCATACACAATAAATTTCAACCACACTTTATTCAGTATCAAGCTATATGTGGTTACTTATTATTGATTTAGGTGAGTACAATGTTATAACAAGTTCTTAGACTATCTCTCACTATTTTTTTTAATATGGAAATTCTTTGGAAAAGTTCATGCTAATTTTGGCCCCAAAATACAAATTTTTGCATCAGTTTTTGGCCAAAAATACTAATTTGGCTAAATAAGGGTTGGCATCGCTGCATCATGAGGTAGTGAGCATGAGGTAGATCGAGATTCTACCAGTATGCTTGATTGAATCTCTACTGGTAGAATCTCTGATCCTACTAGTAGAGATTGTAATCATATGGTAGAATCTCTGATTCTACCAGATTGCAGTCTCTACCCTGACATATATATCTTTTATAACAGACATGAGTCCAATGTCTGTGTTACTTGTCGGAGATGCTTGAGTCAAGAGTGACCCTTTATGTATAAACAAAAGTTTCCAGAACTTTCTCTACCTCTTTGGGTCCGACCAATCTGGAATAATCCAGAAGGCCTAGAAATTTGGTTAAAGCGTCTCCAGTCTTTTCTTCCAGTCAGGAGCGGTGGGGTAGCCTAGTGGTTAAAGCGGTCAGTCGTCACACCGGAGACCCGGGTTTGAATCCCCACATGGATATACTGTGTGAAGCCCATTTCTGGTGTCTCCCACTATGATATTACTGGAATATTGCTAAAAGCTGCGTAAAACAAAACTCACTCACTCGCTCAGTTGTCTTCCAGTCTATACATACTAACCAGCACACCACCACCCTCTATTGAATCTTAACAGAAACAATGTTCACAAACACCACCACATAACATATCATTAATATATTGGCAATATGAGTACCATGTCTGTGTGCCGTGTGTGTTACAGGCGTGTGGAGAAGCTGTTGACAGGGGTAAAGGTAGCTGTGGGTGGTGTCACGAAGGAAGAGGAGAGATATATCTCCCCCACAGTTGTTCGCGACTGCAAGCTTAGTGATGCCGTCATGCAGGAAGAGGTAGGTAACTGGGCCATTGTTGCCCAAACATTTCAAGGTGATCAAGTGATCAAAGAAAACAGTAAGTGTGATTATATAAACTGTTTATGTAACATGCACTAACTTTCTGTAATTGTTCACAAGCTTGCTGCAGAAGACTCTTTTCTTTTCTAATAATTTTACTCGAATGAATGTATAACTGTGTGACTTAAAGAGGCATGGTTGGAATAGGACCCAAGAGTTTGAATCTGGACTCCTAGTGGAGATTCAGACTGAATGTGTTTCCAGTATCGTATGGCTCACTGCTGAGGATGAGATGGTCAAACAGTAGCTTGGCTTGCTGGACCTGACTCAGTTATTTAGAGGTGCGATTTTGCTGGAATAATGCGGATGTACTGATTTATCTTTATGGGAAAAATTGTAATTATGTTTCATGTTTGGATTTCTTATAGTTTTGAATTTCTGAGGTATCTGAACACTGTATATTGATATTGCATTGTGTAAGATTAAACATTTAAGTCTCTCCCTCTTTATTGCCCTTAGGGCAGTGGGGTAGCCCTGTGGTTAAAGCGTTTGCTCATCACACAAAGACCCAGGATCAACTCCCCACATGGGTATAATGTATGAAGCCCATATAGTGTCTCCTGCTGTGATATTGCTCAAATATTATTTAAAGTGTCATAAAAACTCGCTCACTCATGTAGTAAATGAGTCACCTTGTTCGAGCCGTCATGTTGGGATATATCTGTTTCTCATTTGTGATTTTTCTTAGAAAGCTGCTGCAGAGGTGGGTCCTTTGGGACAGAGCTTGTATGGTTAAACAACACTCACTTTCTGTACTTTCTGGGGCAGTGGGGTAGCGTAGTGGTGAAAGCATTGGCTCGTCACGCCGAAGACCCGGGTTCGAATCCCCACATGGGTACAATGAGTGAAGCCCATTTCTGGTGTCCCCCGCCGTGATGTTGCTGGAATATTGCTAAAAGCGGCGTAAAACCAAACTCAGTCAGTCAGTCTGTACTTTCTGTTTAATACATACATTTGTATTTATTATACTTCAGTATTAGATTTATCTCTTACACAGATATTTGGACCTGTCCTGCCCATCTATGTTGTGAAAGACGACAAGGAGGCGTTAGACTTCATCAACGACAGGGAGAAGCCGCTGGCCATGTACATATTCTCCAGAAACCAGCGCATCATTGACAGCTTTGTCCAAAATACCAGCAGCGGAGGCATGTGCATCAACGACTGCATCATGCATGCATCCAGTGAGTATTCTAGGACCACGTGGTGTGTTATGTTCGTTGTCTTTTTATGCCGCCATATAGCTGGAATATTGCTGATTGCCGCTTTAAACAACAAATAAACCTTTGTTTTGGCAGGTTGTTAACTCCTCGTAGCGACCCCACAAATGTGCCAAAATGTTATGGTTGTATTCCGAAGATAAGGAAGTAAAGTTGGTTCATAGTTCATGGTCTGGTGTTGTCGCCCACAGTGCGTACTATTTGTGGTTGTCATGGTAGAAGTCTGTTGGTGCCTAAATATTCAAGTCTCTATCCCACAAGGAGGCAATATTGTATACGTTTACAATACCAACACAGCGAGAAAGGAAAGGAATGAGATTGCACGAAATGCTGAGAAAATTCAAGGAGGGTGACCAGACAGACAGACATCTTCATGCTTTTCTAGTTGGCATTTGTTGTCTGGAGAGGTGGCCATATCTGTAAAAGAAGTATGTTAACCAAGATTTTCTCCCGATCCCATTAGTCGCTTCTTATGACAAGCATGAAGACCAATTCTAATCCAGATCATCCTGCGTTACACATAACAAGATATTATGTTGCATTTTATAGTACTGTGTTCCTACTGAAGTTCCGCAATAAAAGACTTTACATCTGCTGATAAATTTCACGAGTCTTGGATGTTGTATCATATTTTCTTTTCTTTAGAAGAGCAGCAATAGTAAAATGTCCTATTCTTTTGTTTATTTGTCATGTCTAAGACCAAATAATATAAATCTGAAGTATTTTGTCAGATATTAAAGGGGCTTGTGTGTGTGTGTGTGTGTGTGTGTGTGCGTGTGCACTAAAATCCCACCTAAGTAAACTGTTAAGTACTGGTTACATCAAATGTTATGCTAAAAGATTTCCTCTATGTCAATGACCTTCATTACCCTTTCATGAAGGTCAATGCTCTGTAACAGGGGTGGATGATTAAATTTTTAAAAAATAAAAATAAAGACATTACATCACCTATGTTCTGTTGCAGTGCCCTCTCTGCCATTCGGAGGTGTCGGCCACAGTGGGATGGGAGCATACCACGGGAAGTTCTCGTACGACACCTTCAGTCACAGGAGATCCGTGATGCAGAGAGACCTCAAACTGGACTCAGTTAATGCGTACGTCGTAATAATGAACTTGATTATTCACAGGTTGCTGTCTGTATGATAGTCAAAGTGTGCTGATTTCACGATATGTGCCAGTGTTTTCACCAGCTTTTGAAACATATCTTCATACCTTTGTGTGACTATCTTGTTTATAATTTTATGCGACTTAATCATAACATGAAACAGTGTATGAAATAAGCCAAAACCCAAGTCAGACATCAGGGCTGGTAACTTCAAAATGTTACCAGTCCAAAATGGATTTAACCAGACCAGACACCAAGATATGACTCAGATGTATATAACATCTAAACATTTTTACCAGACCATCAGGCTGGCTAGCTGTAAATATAGACCGTACGTCTGAAATCTAACCCATCTCAGGCGGTCGGATGGGCCTTATTTCATACACTGCATGACATATTCTATCATATGAGCTACAGAGAATTTGACTCCCTTGGTTGATATGTGTCCACAGATTTTTTTGTTATATATTTACAACTGTAGGAAATTATCTATGTATACACAGTAACAGATTTGTATGATAATGGGCTTGCTGATGTTCCAGAATTCGATATCCCCCATACACAGAGAAGAAGTTTGGCATCATCAACTGGTTGACGAAGAAGTCTGTGAAGAAGACCGGGATCATGTCCTTCTTTCCCCTGGTCTTGTTTGGAGCTGTCTTAGCCTTCTTTCTCAAGGTGAAGGTCAAGCAATAGTGGGGGCACCTGCTGTCTGTAACCAGTACCATTTACTGGACTGACTGACTGAGTTTGGTTTTACGCCGCTTTTAGCAATATTCCAGCAATATCACGGCGGGGGACACCAGAAATGGGCTTCACACATTGTACCCATGTGGGGATTCGAACCCTGGTCTTCGGCGTTGACGAGCCAACGCTTTAACCATTAGGCTACCCCACCGCCCCACCATTTACAGGACATGAGGCCATTATTGTTTATCTGTTGCATTACTGATTCAACTTTTAAACTTTTAAGTCGTTGAGTGAGCAAATTGTCTTTTTTACTTACAGACTAATGTAGATTAGTATTTATTTGATGAGGAAGTACTATATATGTCTGAAAATATAAAAATCAGTATTTGGCTTGAGTGAAATAACATTTTATACTGTAACTAATTTTAGACAATACTTTTTGATACTCTGATTTAAAAAAATCAGACAGATATTTAACAGAGCATATAGCTTTTCTGGTCCAGCACTCTCATTAAAGTCTGATCTTGGTGTTTGGTTTCCGCTACACATTTATCTGAGGAGATGCAATTTCAAATTGATGTTATAGATAGTGCTAACATCCATTTACCATGGCTGCGGAGGCTAATGTACAATCTGGGCATTCCAGACATTTTCTGTATTTGTATTTGACATCAAGAACAGCGAGTGAGTGAGTTTAGTTTTACGCCGCACAATATTCCAGCTATATGGCGGCGGTCTGTAAATAATCGAGTCTGGACCAGACAATCCAGTGATCAACAGCATGAGAATCTATCTGCGCAATTTGGAACTGATGACATGTGTAAACCAAGTCAGCGAGCCTGACCACCTGATCCCGTTAGTCGCCTCTTACGATAAAGCATGGGTTACTGAAGATCAATTCTAACCCAGACCTTCACGGGTTGTGGTACAAGAACAGGGCTGAATTTTAAATCCAGTATGTAAAAATTCTGCAACAACTGACTGAGTTAATGAAATATGAATCTCAAACTGAGTTTCCACATCCAGCACGTAAAATTATCTCCACATGTTTTTCAGGGTTCAGTAACCATGATAAACAATAAGAATTGCCTAAATCTGTTATGATGTCATTTGATTGTGTAAGTTTCTGAAGTGGGGACTTGGCTTGTTGTGGCACTTTGGTAATTCATGTTTTCCTACACCCAGGCTGTTGGAGTACAAGCAGGATGGCCGACCCTCAAGGAACAATAGATGGCTACACCCGAGTCAGATTCGAGTCCCTTTGGAACATAACACGGAGGGACAATAGATGTCTGAAAAATAGCATCAACGAGAACCACGAATAATATTTGATCAGTCACCAAATGTTTCTTTTTGTAAATAAGTCATTAATACTACCGAATTGAACACCAACCCAAGGACTTTAAGAGCAGCTAGGTTCTATCTCTATCTCAGGTCACTAACTCATAATGTATGTCAGACTTATGATAACGTCGTTATACAGCAAGTCATATTCACTCAAGGCGCTAATGACAATGTCTTGTACAAGACTCTCGTCTTTAAGATGTGATAATGTCCAGGTGAGGTAAGGTGAAATTGGGTTTAACATCGTGCTTGAGAATATTTCGCTCATATGACGATGTTCATGTATGTGTATGTGCGGCTGCTTGTACTAGCCCAGACTGAAACTGGTTTTATAGGGCTAACCCACTGAGATACCATGCCGAAGTGAAGCATGAATACCCCACTCAGACACATTATACTGACTCCGAGCCGACCAGTCCTTCTTGTACCCATTAATGCCGAGCGTCAGGCAGGGACCAACAAGTACCATATTTTTAACTTCTTTTGGTATGACGCGGTCGGGGATCGAACCCGCGACCTTCCGCTCTCTGGGCTGACGCTCTAACCACTACACCACGGAGGCGGTTGATAATGTTCAGGTGTTGCATAAGTACAATCTCAAGAAAGGTAGTTTACTCTGTGTGTGATGACTATTTAGGAGATAAACATCATGTGTTGGCCAATTTCCGGGTGTTATTGAGTATTTGAAGCACAGGAATTCAATTGGAACCGACGGCGTTAGCTGGGCAATCGTCAGTGACGGCATCTACAAGGTAAAATTAACACCTTGTTATGGTATTCCTTGAACAAGGAGCATGGTAGACCAGGTCATGCGGAGTTGCTTCCCTTCGTCATGCCAGGAATCTGTGATTCTGGGTTTGTCAGCCATGGGTTTCAGCAAAGTGGTAAACTTCCAACCCTGCATCTCTTTGAGTTTCTGTATTAGGTCAAGCTGAGGTGCCTTGGCATGATGGTAATACTGGTCAGTGTGGTGTTAAACTTGTCTGACTTACTATATTGGGATGTGCGTGATGATGCTTGGATTAAGTCCAACAGGACATTTGGATCTTTAATGGACATCTGGCGGTCTCTATTAACAGAATAGAGTGAGTTTAGTTTTACACCGCACTCAGCAATATCCCAGCTATATGGCGGCGGTCTGTAAATAATCGAGTCTGGACCAGACAATCAAGTGATCAACAGCATGAGCATCGATCTGCGCAATTGGGAACCGATGACATGTGTCAATCAAGTCAGCGAGACTGACCACCCGATCCTGTTAGTCGCCTCTTACGACAAAACAGAATAGAACTTGCAAGATAGGTATTTTTGTTATTTGATGTGCATGTTTTTGTGCTAGATGCACTTGTTAATTTTTCCATTTAATAAACACTGGAGGCATTGTGGGAAATCATAAACCATTTCATTTTAAAACGTAATTAATTATAATTAGCAGTATTTAGTTTTTTAGAATATTTTAAGTTTGTTTGAAAATTGTACACTGTATCTGTTACTGTGCTATTTCATTGGTAAATTGATACAAATGTATTTTCCTACTTCCGAACTTGCATTCCACTGGTTTCATCATGCAGTGTCATGAGATTAGGCTACAAGATGCAATTACTGTGCTGCATCCTATGCACAATATTTATTTTGACTCCTTGCTATACAGAACTACAGGCTGTAGAGACCGGTCAAAGAGACCAGCGACACAGAGGTACAGTACTGACAGCTGGAAATTGTCCATCATAAAGCTGATATGCCATAATACCACAAATTATCGTCAGAATAGTTACATGAAAACCGGTATTTGCCAGTCTAAAAAGAAAACACAATTTGATGTGTGACCTTCAGCCATGATCAGGGCTCCGTTCCCCAAAGCGATCGTAGTGCTAAGATGATCGTAACTCCCATAGTTTAACATAGACTTACGACTGTAGTGCTACGATGATCGGAGCTCCCATACTTTAACATAGACTTACGACAGTTGTAGTGCTACGATGATCGTAACTCCCATACTTTAACATAGACTTATGATTGTAGTGCTACTGTAGTGCTAAGATGATGATCGTAACTCCCATAGTTTAACATAGACTTACGACTGTAGTGCTACGATGAACTCCCATACTTTAACATAGACTTACGACAGTAGTGCAACGATCGCTTTGAGGAAAGGGCCCCATACATCTTTTCAATTGGATTGCTGTGAGATCCTAACATAAACACCCAAGTTATATATAATTTATTACAGCCTTATATTAAAGATTCATGTGGAACGTGCTGCCAGTACTTGTATGGAGTGGGTACTGCTATGTTGTTGTAATGTTTTACAGAATGTGCCTTTCACAGAACACGTCATCGTAAATATTTGTTAAATTGTCAATTTCATATCAGGGTTTTTGTCAAAATCTGTTATATGCATCACCTTTACAATCATTGTTTAATTGTCAGATATTTGTATGTGATCTGTTGGAAGAATAAACAGCCATGACAGCACTGGACTTGCTTGTTTTGTGTTAATGCAAAGGAGCAGTGACAGGGACACTACGAAAGGAATATGATCATGAATCGGTATAATCATGAGCCATTGTGATCTTGAATATTAATGAACTATTATGATCATCAATCAGTATGTTAATGAAGAGGAGAGATGACAACGACTTTATGAAAGGAATATGATCATGAATTTGGTATAATCATGAACCCCTGAGGTCTTGAATCTTTGTAATCATGAACTATTGTGATCATGAACCTGTCTGATAATGAAGTAGAAATCCTGTTACCCAGATTAATTTTGAACAAGTATGATCATGAACTGGTATGACTGATCATGAAGTATTGTGATCATGAACATAAGACTTTTATTGAACCTGTGTGATCATGAACTGATATGACTGAACCAGTGTGATCATGAACTGATATGACTGAACCAGTGTGATCATGAACTGATATGACTGAACCAGTGTGATCATGAACTGGTATGACTGAACCTGTGTGATCATGAACTGATATGACTGAACCAGTGTGATCATGAACTGGTATGACTGAACCTGTGTGATCATGAACTGATATGACTGAACCAGTGTGATCATGAACTGATATGACAACCCGTGTGATCATGACCCATGTGATCATGAACTCGTATAACTGAACCAGTGTGATCATGAACCAGTGTGGTCATGAACTGATATGACTGAACCAGTGTGATCATGAACTGATATAACTGAACCAGTGTGATCATGAACTGATATGACTTAACCAGTGTGATCATGAACTGGTATGACTGAACCTGTGATCATGAACTGATATGACTGAACCAGTGTGACCATGAACTGGTATGACTGAACCAGTGTGATCATGAACTGATATGACTGAACCAGTGTGATCATGAACTGGTATGACTGAACCACTCTGATCATGAACTGATATAACTGAACCCGTGTGAGCATGAACTGGTATGACTGAACCTGTTTGGTCATATACAAATGTAACTGAACCAGTGTGATCATGAACTGATATGACTGAACCACTTTGATCATGAACTGGCACCACTGATGTGATTGTGAAGAATTATGATCACAAACACGTCATAAACCAGTTTTAATTGCATCCCAGTATTACCTGAACCAGGTAGATCACGAAGTGATGTTATCATTATTATCATTATTTGTGGTCATTACGTCACGTGACCAAGGCGGTTGGGCATGAAAACGTATTATCATCAACTGATATGATTTTGAAACTGCTACACAACTAATGAGATCAAGTATCGGTTTGATCACAAACTACTGTGATCATTAAACAGACTGATGATTAACTAGTTCGACCATGATTAGAATTGTTCTCTAATACTAGTACCCCTTTGTCGACCGTAAGTTTGTTTGTTGTTTAACGCCGCACTGAGCATTGTTCCAGCTATATGTCGAAGATATGTAAAGGAACATTGGCTACGCAATTGGTATACATGTACTATGGCATGCATCAACCTAGTCAGCGAGTCTGACCACCCGATCCCGTTAGTCGCCTCTTACGACAAGCATGGGTTGCTACAGATCAATTTTAACCCGGATCAGTTGTCGGTCGTATGAGAAACACAAAACTATTGTCAGGATTAAACACGACAGGAATGTTGCCATAGATTAAAAACGCTGGAAATTTGATTGGGGTCGATTCTTTTAAGTGTCCAAAGCGTCTGTAAAATCTTAAGTGTAAAGGGAAGTAACTTCTGCAGCCTTATCACGCAGACTTCACTCAATTGTACAATAAAACGTCACAACTTCTCACCGAACCGTTGGTTGGTTTGTTGTTTAACGCCGCACCCAGCCATTTTCCATGTTTATGGCGACGGTCTGTAAATAAACATCGGTTCCCAATTGCGCAGATCGATGCTCATGCTGTTGATCACTGGGTTGTCTGGTCCAGAGTCGATTATTTACAGACCGGCGCTATATAGCTGGAATATTGCTGAGTGCGGCTTAAAACTAAACTCACTCACTCACTCTGTAAACTACAGAAATATGAAACGATCAGGTGTTCTGTAACTTATTTTGAGTAGGATAAATAATTGAGTGAGTTTAGTTTTACGCCGCACTCAGAGTAGTAGTATAAATAAGCTACAAAAACGTATGTAAAGACTATCAAGACAGACCGCCGCCATATAGCTGGACTATTGCTGAGTGCGGCGTAAAACTAACTCACTCACTCACTCACTGTAAATAAACGAGTCTGGACTAGACAATCCAGTGATCAACCGCATGGACATTGATCTACGCAACTGGGATACGATGACAAGTGTCACTCATCAGCGAGCCTGACCACCCAATCCCGTTAGTCGCCTCTTACGACAAGCATGGGTTACTGAAGATCAGTTCTAACCCGTATCTTCACGGGTCTCTCACCAAACCGATTACGTTTGTTTGTTTGTTTGTTTATTCAGCTTTATGACGGACGGACGGACGTTTTGAAGGTCGCCGGCTCATAACACTAAGTTGCACAGGAAAAGATTCACCCATGCCTTTTAGTAATCTAATAACATCTAGATGGTTTGTACGTTAACCGTTACTGGGGCCAGTACTGGGGCCACGTAAACTTTTGATAGGCCAATACCTTTAAGAGTTCTTATTCCATCAGGGAGAAGTGGGGTAGCCTAGTGGTTAAAGCGTTCGCTCGTCACGCCGAAGACCCGGGTTCAAATCCCCACATGGGTACAATGTGTGAAGCCCATTTCTGGTGTCCCCCGTCGTGATGTTGCTGGAATATTGCTAAAAGCGGCGTAAAACCATACTCACTCACTCACTCACTCTTATTTCATCAGTGGACTTCACAACTGTGGGTGGACAAATATTGCCTTCATCAAAACATTTCCCTTTCTTTGTTATATGTCTCCCGCACCATTAACATATTACAATTCATCCTCTATAAGGTTTACATTCAAGCATGGCAGTACTAGCATAGTCGTTCTTCACGTGAGGAGTTCGAGTCTCTTCAACAATCAGATGTTAGTCTAAAGTTGTTCCGGGGCAGTTGGGTAACCTAGTGGTTAAAGCGTCCGCCCGTTAGAAGACCCGGGTTCGAATCCCCTGTTACAAAAGCCCATTTCTGGTGTCCCCGCCGTGATATTGCTGGAATATTGCTAAAAGCGGCGTAAAACCAACTCTGAGTCAGTCAGTCAGTTTAAAGTTGTTCCAACGGAGTGTTTAGAACATTCTGTTATAATACACTGGATATTCAGGTGATGGTAAGCATCTCTCAACATACACGTCCTTTCAGCTGTATGAACGTCCTGCAGTGTATAGTCAGAACCGGATGATCCAGTGATTGATAGTGTGAGTCACTATCCACGAGGGGCGGTGGGATAGCCTAGTGGTTAAAGCGTCCGCCCGTCACGCCGAAGACCTGGGTTCGATTCCCCACATGGGTACAATGTGTGAAGCCCATTTTTGGTGTTCCCCGCCGTGAAAGCGGCGTAAAACTAAACTCACTCACTCACTTGACCGTCTCCGTGGTGTAGTGGTTAGAGCGTCCGCCCGGAGAGCGGAAGGTCGCGGGTTCGATCCCCGACCCCGTCATACCAAAAGACGTTAAAATATGGTACTTATTGGTCCCTGTCTGGCGCTCGGCATTAATGGGTACAACAAGGATTGGTCGGCTTGGTGTCAGTATAATGTGTCTGAGTGGGGTATTCATGCTTCACTGCGGCATGGTATCTCAGTGGGCTAGCACTATAAAACCAGCTTCAGTCTTGGCTAGTACAAGCAGCCGCACATACACATACACACACATGCAGCCGTCATATGAGCGAAATATTCTCTAGCATGACGTAAAACCCAATTTCACCTCACCTCACCTCACCTCACCTCACCTCACTCACCACTCACTCACTCACCGTCTCTCTCTACGTCTGGTGTGGTAATACGTAACCTACATTTTCACCCAATCCATGTGGTCGCTTCACTTTACAAACGGAGGCTGCGTGGGACCTATCATGCAGACTATGTCAATACTCTTTACGCCAAGAATAGGCGAGAAAACCTACAATCGTTCGCAACGTTACGAACTGTCGTAACTCTATAGTTTATCATGGGCGTATGTTGTTTGTATGTTGTGTAACGCCGCACCCTGCAATATTCCAGCTATATGGCGGCGGTCTGTAAACAAGTATCGTTTGCCTATCGTAAGGCTATGGAGATCAGGGTTATAATAGGTCTTCAGCAACCAATGTTTGTCGTAAGAGGCGACTAACGGGATCGGTGGTCAGGCTCGCAGACTTG